TTGATTTTTTTCATTTTCTCAATGATTTTTTTAGTTTATTTACATTAAATTCATCTTTCTCATGATTTGAAATGTTGTCCCCACTCGAGGACAGTGGAGGCCACCTCACGTTTCACCTAACAAACGGAGTCTCTGGCACGACATTGGAAGGTCACATCAGTGCATGCACAGCGTGGGCAAGGCCTCTGTCACTGAAAAAGAGTAAAAATAAAATAAAATCATGGTACGTTTAACAGAATTTCTAGAGTTTGAACTGCAATTCCTGTCAGGTAAAATCTAGATCATGGTCTGGTTTTTTTTGTTTTAAATATGAACACAGAGTCAATAATAAGGATTAGAATGCTCTCGGAACATGATTCAGGCCACTAAATTTGATTAAAATCTGAAGACACGGTTTCTTGTATTTAAATTTATTGTTAATTAGGAAACATGAGGTGTTGACTGAGAGGGTGCATTACTGTTTAATAAATCTCAAATCAATGAAAAGCAAAATCTTTAAGAACTCTGCAGTCTACATGAATAATTTGACTTTGACTGAAACCTAGAAATAAACATCTTGAAACTAAGAGTTTATTACAGTAAGACAATGAGGATACGGACACATTTAGCGCAACCACCGCAATAACATGAACACATCATCATGGGACTCCCTTGAGGTCTCTGTAAGGGTCCATGGGAATATGCTCGCTACAGGCAGAATTATTTTGCAGCATATACATTCATTGTTTTTTCCTGAAAAACATTATTGAACCGGCAAAACGTGGGTGAAATATCTAATCTGCCCTGTACAACCTTTCATTATATATATATATATATATATATTGTTGAGTATGGGTACTGCCATGACACAGTCCGAAGAACAGGAACACATGCATGGCTCGGAAAGGTTTTTGACACATGGAGTCGAGAGGTCTTCACCACAATTCAGTGTCGAAAAATGTCCCACACAAAAGTAGACATTAGGGCAGCCTTTTTCTGTCCTTCATCTTGGACTTTTGCCTCTAAATCTGTGTATAATGATGACAATTTGTCTCCCTATCATGGCTTCAATAAGTATTCTTGGTTTCTGATTGCAAGCGTTCTCAATTCATGGTTAATTTGCATGTTTTAAAAATAAATAAATTTTATTTTAAATTATTATTTTTTCATAATTTTAAATATTGATATCAAAAATAATTTTAAAAAAATAAAAAATATTATTTTAATATATTTTTAAATAAAAAATATTTCAAAAAACGACAATTATAACAGCCTCAAACCTCCTTTTAATACTAAACTCCAAATTCTTTTAAATCAAATATAACATCAATTTCTTTCATTTCCCACACTATTCATGGAAGCAAGCAAACAAACAAGAGTTCATTTCTTTCATTAATGATAATTATTACTTTATTAGGAAACAGTGGTGGACATGTCCATGATATAATATTGATATGATAAGGATGATCACAAGCATATAATAGTGGTAAAGCTAATTATTATATATTCATGGTGATTATAGAGATAATGATGGAACATTAATTGGATTATATGAGACCAGGTGCGGTCACCCTCTTTGAACGACCAATTAGTCACTGTATGCGTGGCCGACTGAATATTTTATTTTTATAATTTTATTTTTTTGAGCATGTTTTTTCTGAAATTTATATTTTTTTTGGGCAGTGAAGATTTTAATTGTAGAACTCATAAAAATAAATTAATGTGACATGTCCTCTCAAGTTGATTCCGAGATTGAATTTTAAAACTATGTTGTCCTAACATTGATTAATTAATTAATTAATTAATCATATATATATATATATAAGTCTGTTTTGGTATAAAGGAATCTTATGTAAAATTTTATTACAGACAAAAGGGCTTTCTATTAAAACTCTAAACTGTTGAATAATGTTACAGGGCTTCATTGTTTATTTCAAAATTGAATCATCTCAATTGTGTTTACAAGTTTTCAATCTTTTTTCCCTTTTTTTATCTTTTATTTTTAAATCTTACCTTCCAAATTTTTTTCTTCTAGTTTCTTTATTTAATATTTTATTAATTTGATTGGGTCATTATAATTTATTTTTTTATTTTTTTATAAAATTATTATAATCTCAAATAAATATCTCAGTATCTGGTTAGTATTTAATTTTTATAAGAGTCTATTTTTATTATCATATCATTAAATAAGAAATAATATTAACAATTAAATTTTTTAAACTCAATAGAATCCATTATTCGGGTCACATGTTTTAAGAGTTAAGTCACAAAATCCATGTTAATTTGATATATCATCGTCTTAATATTTTAAAAAATAATATCATCTTAAAGTTATTTTAAAATCAAGCCATGCTTTTACTTAACATTTAAATTGTTTTTATACCCATCAAATCAATTGAATCATATGAAATCAACTCTTATTTGGGTAAATTCTAAATTCAGGCTAGACAAAGAATCGTTGAGTTCGGTTTAATAATAGAGTCAAATTATTTTTTAAAAAGATTCAATCTCCTTTTTTTTTCAATTGAATATTTTTTGGATTTTTTATTAATTTTATTTTTAAATATTTGATTGATTTTGAATTAATAACTATAATTTGTTTTGATTTGTTTTATATGAGATTATCACAATTTCAACACAAACATCTCAATATTTGATTAATGTTCAATTATAGGAGTTTTTAGCTTTGTTATCATGTCATTAAATAAGAAATAACTTAAACAAAAAAATTGTTAAATCCAGCAAAGTTCAAGATTTATAGGAAATTTGATAGGTTATGCTGCAATATCTGGGTTGATCTAACATATTATAGGTTATGCTGCAATATCTGGGTTGATCTAGCATATTATTGTTTTAATAAAAAAATATTATTTTAAATATTATTAAAATCAAATTATTTTTTTATTAATTATTCAAATTATTTTTAAATTTTTCAAATAAACTAAACTAGGTTATATTAATACAACTCTTATAAAGTTAATTTTAAAGCAGGATAAAGTTAGAAGTGAGGCAAGAATAATTCAAAATTAATCATATTTAATAATAATATTAAATAATTTAATAATTATCAAGGCCTCTTTTTTTTGGTCAGGTTAAAAAAATTGGCTAGAAAACTAATTCACTCTAAACTAAAAATTTAATTTCTTTTAAATAAGCATTTGTTAACAGAACATCACTCTTTTGCTTATTGATGAATAAATACAATAAAAATCGGTACCGTGATTGTTTGCTTGACTTAATTAAGAATATAGATCGAGCCAGATTGGCTCATACCAAGCCTATATCTGGCTAATTTCTTATATGCCTCTCCCGGCTTGACTAATCAAGCTGATGTCCTGGCCAGACCCGGCCTGCGACATGTTTTATGTTTTGAAGTACATTAAAAAAAAATATAATGATATTATTATTTTTTCTTAAATCAGGTGCATTTATTTTATATATTTAGAAAGTGCTTTTTTTTTCTACTTTGTAACATCACCGGATAGCCCTTGACTTAAATTACATAAGTTTATATTAAAGTATTTTTTTCAGAGTATTTATTAAATTAATATATTTTTTATTTTTTAAAATTAATTTTTAACAATAGAACATCAAAACTATTTAAAATATAAAAAAATTAAATTAATTTTTTTTTTGGTAAAATGCTATTTATAACACAATTACAAACTAAGCTTTATAAAATTAAACATAATATATATATATATATATATATATATATATATACAAGTTTGGAAGATGATTTATATTATACTATTTTTATGAACAAACAGGTCTTTTGGAAGATGATTTATATTAAACTATTTTTATGAACAAACAGGTCTTGGTCTTAGTTAATTAAAATTATTTAAGCATATTTTATTGTTGAAGAAAATCATTCAAAGTTTAAATAATTTAATAACTGATGATTCATTTAAAATCCAATAAAAAACTTAATCCCAACATATAAATTTCTTTCTAAAACTATATCTTATTAAAATAAAAAAGAAGTTTTTTATTTAAAAGCAACTGCAGGAATAATAAAAGGTTTTAACGTACGAGTGGGAGCAGGAACTTTCTTCCACTTTGAACGCCACCGCGTTTACGCGTGGAGCACCCACAAATGGGAAATAATTTTATTTTTTATTTTTTACAAATGGGAAATAAATATGAATAGAGTAACCTAAAACCAAAAAAATAAAATTAAAATAAAATCTGAGGTAAAAATCTGAGTCAGCTTCCTCAAAGTCCACCACACTAATAATAATAATAACATTAATAATATAAAAGATGAGGTGGGGGTACATGATGAACCCCATCTCTAAAAAAAAAAAAAACCCTACAAACTGACAAATTGACTTAAAAAAGGAATTCAACAATGAAATGTTCTCTCCAAAACTTATAAAAAAATCAAAATATTAATGTATTTTTTTTTGCCATTATGATTGAGTTGTGGTTTAACCAACTTTTTATTAAAATTATTTTTTAATAATTTTAAATTTTTTTATTACGTGAAAAATCAATTTTTAAAATAAAAAAAATATTATTTTAATATATTTTTAAATAAAAAATAATCTTAACGACACCCGAGAGCAGCCCTATATAAGAGATGGCTTGTTTATAATTTTAGTGGACTGAATAGAGGGATTAAAATGATTGAAGTTACAAACTCGAGGGACCACATAAATTCCTTTTTTCCCTATTTGTTTTTTTATTTACGGTCTTTTATAAAAAAAGAACAAGCAAAGCCGAAGACAAACACAAGCAACAAAGAGAAACCTCCTATGTTTCAACAAGCCAAGTTTTCAACTCAAGCAGTTTTTTTCTCATAAGCCAAATCTTTCCATGGATACAGAAACTTCGCCGTAAGGACTCGCTCACAAACCAATCTTTTCCAAGAAATTGACTAGAAAACTAAACTTGTATTTATATCTCATATGGCTAGCTAATCGTATTTTCTTGATGACCATCCAATATTGGCAGGTTTGAGACTAGTGGGATGCTGGCCAATTTCCTGGCTTCCACACCATTGCTAACCGAGTCATGGAGGTTATGCAATCTCGCCCAAGCAAAATCACCGCAGAGTTTCGTCGCTGAACAGGTCGGAAATATTGGGTATGTGGCCTTTCCCGGCACCCTATTTGTATCAGGCTCAGACCCCAGTTTCAAGAATTTGGTTCGTTTGCCAGTACATGATGTTGCTGGCAATGACCTTTTTGCTCCTTTACATGACCAAAATGAAGGGGAAGAGCCTGTCATGGTGCAAGGTGCCTTGCTGAGGATTTTCGAGAATATATACAGCGACCCAAGTTTTCAAAACCAGGTCTGTTTTCTTCCATGGTGATCTTCCTTGATATACGTGTGTTGATTAATTAATTATATGCTGTTTGGTTGGGAAGAAAACCAGAGAAAATATGAATCTTCTGTTTGTATGTTAACGTGGTAGTAGTTCATTTTCACTTCAAAATATATTTTCCAGAGAAAATACTTTGAAAATTAACTGTTAACAGACTCTCGCACCACCAATCTCTCACAGAAAAACGGGACAAAAAATCAAGAAGGTAATAAAGACAGTAATTCTGGCTATCTAAAGATAGTTATGTGGGGATGAAGAGGTGAGTTAACATGTCAAAAAGTTAAAGGCTATAACCATAGAAAGAAATGGCAAGAATGAATGGATGTCATGGCATGGCATGTCCATTTTCGTTATCAGTAGCTGCTAAAAGGCAAGCTGTTCTTTCCCATTAGGGCACAGAAAAGAGTTGGCATTTTCTTTGATTTTCATCTCATAAAAGATGGAATCTTTTCATTGCAGAGAAGAAACTTTCTAAACCATGCCACCTAATAATTTCTATTTAAAAATTTAAATTTTTAAGTAAAATTTTTAAATAAAATTTATTTTTTATCCTTTAAATTAAAAATTTACACATATTTAATTTATTTTATATTTATATTTTATCAAATAAATATAGATAATAAGATCCAAATTTATAATGATAATTATCAAAATTTTGATATTATATTAATAAATATATCTAATTAAAATTTTAAAATTTTAATTAAAATTTAATAATATAATTTATATTATTTTCTAGGAAATCAATCTTCTTTAATTTCACCGTGATTTTCTTGCCATCCCACCTGGCTTTATTTACTATCTCCAGATCACCCGAGGGCTAGTGGGAAAGCATTGATGGCACTACCATGGTCATCATTGCATCTTCGTTCAATGTTTCTGTACAAAAAGGAAGACTCACACTCCCTCAAGGAATCACACGTTTGTTTCAAATATAATAATAATAATTGTACAGTAATAGAAAATAGTATTTGGAATTATAGTAATACTACTATTAATAATAATTTATAATTTTATTATTTAAATAAAATTTATAAATTTTTCAATAATAATATTTTTAAAAAATTTAATAATAATAATATTAATAATAATAATAGTAGTAGTAATAATAATAATGATACTGATAAGAATAAATATAATAATAATATTAGTTATAATAACGATGATAATAATTATAATAGTATAAACAATAATAATAATAATAGTAATGATAATAATACTAATAATAAGAATGATGAGAATAATAATTGTTATAATAATAACAATGATAATTCATCATTAGATATTATATTTGTTTGGAATTGAATTTCATTGTTTTTTCATGGATGATTTTTTATCTAAAATCCTGAATTACTAGTTTAAAAAATTTGTATGATTTGATTTTAATTTTATTATTTAATATTAATTTTTAAAAATATAAAAAGATTATCCAAATTTCCTTTTGTTATAATGGTGGTGGATGATGATTTAGTTCAATTTGTTTCCTTGACAAATTCAATCAATATATTCACTTTTGTTATAATGGTGGTGGATGATGATTTCTATTGATACCACTTTAAAGAATAATATATATATATATATATATATATATATATATATATATACAAAAGACTCTTTTTTAAAGAATAATATTTTTTTTTAATAATCTAAGCTTTTAAATTGAAATAATTTCTTAAACATGATGTTATAATTTCTTTGAACTTTAGATTAAGATGATTTTAGTCGGAGGCAACATAGTTGACCAAGTACTATTCAGGTCAACCTGTAATGCAACTTTGGAGAAGCTTGAACTTCTAGAATTGTTAAACTTTTGAGAAAGCTCACAAAAAGAAGAGAAAAAAAGAAGCAAGGATTTCTATTGGTTGAACAAATCCTTTTACTAATAATTTGTATAATATCATGTAGTTTATCTTCAAGAATAAACATGTGTATGCAGATGTCTACGCTAATGCAGACAAGCCAGTCAATTATCTTCACAGGCCATTCCATTGGTGGAACAACTGCCTCTCTTGCTGCTCTTTGGCTCCTTTCTTATCTTCAATCCAATTCTCCGAACCTCTCATTACTATGCATCACCTTTGGCTCTCCATTGCTAGGCAACGAGACCCTTTCTCGTGCCATTCTTCGCGAAAGATGGGGTGGCAAATTTTGCCATGTTGTATCGAAGTATGACTTAATGCCACGGATACTCTTTGCTCCACTAGATCCCATAGCTCCCCTCATAAAACCCCTATTACAGTTTTGGCACTTGTATATGACTTCTCCACATCTTGGATTGCTTGCTGTCCAACGAAATGATGACTACGAGGCAGAGATTTTCAAGTTTGTGTTGGTTCATCTGAGAAGGTCAGTAGAAGCTGGGGAAGAGGCAGTGACAGGAGTGTTTAGGCCATTTGGGAACTATTTTTTCTGTTCTGAAGACGGAGCAATTTGTGTGGACAACGTGGAATCTGTTATTAAAATGATGTATTTGTTGCTTGCAACGGGGTCGTCTAGCTGTAGCATTGAGGATCATCTCAAGTATGGTGATTATGTAGAGAGAATTTCCTCACAATTTTTGGAGAGGAGAAGTTTCATGGAAGGAGAGCTTCCTGAATCAAGCTATGAAGCAGGAGTTGTACTGGCATTACAGTCCTCGGGAATTTCCTGTCAGGTAGTGCTTTCTATTAGAAGTAGTGGGCATTCTTTTGGCTTTGTTCTGCTATAATATATTTTAAGAGAAGTGGAAAAGCTTTCTTAAGTCATTCCTTCTTGAATCAATGCACAGGAACCAGTCGCAGGGCCAGCCAAAGATTGCCTAAAGGCAGCAAGGCGAATGGGGCGTACACCAAACCTAAACTGTGCCAATCTGGCAATTAAGCTGTCCAGAATCAATCCTTACAGGGCAGAAATAGAGTGGTATAAAGAATTGTGCGACCGGTCTGATGATCAGATGGGTTACTATGACTCCTTTAAACGAAGGGGAGCCTCGAAAAGGGACTTTAAAGTCAACTTGAACCGGCACAAGCTAGCTAAGTTTTGGGACAACGTAATCGACTTGATGGAAAGCAATCAACTCCCTCATGATTTTCACAGACATGGAAAATGGGTCTATTCTTCACAGTTCTATAAGCTCCTTGTCGAGCCTCTAGATATTGCTGAGTATTATCGAACAGGCATGCATCACAGTAAGGGGCATTACATTAACCATGGAAGAGAGAGGAGGTACCAGATATTCGATAGGTGGTGGAAAGGGAGAAATGTTAGAGATGAAGAGAATAAACGGAGCAAGTATGCTAGTTTGACTCAGGACACATGTTTTTGGGCTAAAGTGGAGGAAGCTAGGGGGTTGTTAGATGATGTTGGGAATACTAGGGATCCTAGTCATTCGGCTTTGCTTTGGGAGAAGATGGATAGTTTTGCAAGCTATGCAAAAACGTTGGTTGAAACTAAGGAGGTGTCTGCAGATGTGGTGTTAAAGAATTCGAGCTATTCTTTGTGGCTGAAAGATTATAATGAACTGAAATCGCAAAGGGAGCAATTCCGTCCCCAGTTTTCCGGTTTTATGAACAGGGAAATAGTTCCATAGTTTCTATTCAAAGGCCATGATGCCAATTGCCATGCAGGATTTGTAATGAATATGTAAAACATCTTTGTAGTGTATGGTATATGAATCAATCTATACAATATCTGGATTCATGTTGTGTCCCTTCTGCAGAAAAATGCCTTGAAAAATTGCTGCCAGCAATTCTCCGGTGCTTGAATCGAACAAAAACTGGTGAAATTTAACTAAAAGAAAATGTAAGACCTTTTCTTTCAAAGAAAAAATAACCTAACAATTACATAAAAAGGAGACACTGAAACTATGGGATCCCAATATAAACATGCAAGGTTGAATTTGTGATGGCAGCTTAAACCTTCCCATTTGAAATATCAATATTTCTAACAGGTCCCTTGAACCATTTCCTTGCATCCAGAATCCACCAGAGCATTATCAAACTCAAACCAACACCTATAGCCCCCGGCGCATAGTTGAAAGTATTCCAGGAAAGGGGGTAATAAGTTGGCAGAAGAAAGACTGAACAGGTATAACAAATCCACAGAAAGGCAATGATGCAAACTGGCCTCCTTGCTTTGCCTAGGTAAAACGGCCCAGCTTTGAAATTCTTCTCGTCCATTACTATTCTTGCAAAGATTGGAACTGCATAGCCTCCAACCCATCCAATTGTACATATGGAAGTTATGGCAGTGAAGACTACATTGACTTTCAAGATCGGGAGTCCAAGAAGAATGCAGATGGCTGCACATAGCCACACTGCATTTGAGGGAACTTTATGCTTCGGGTGGATTTTTCGCCAGATGGATGAAAAGGGAATTCCTTCATCTCTTGATAAAGCATACACCTGAAGGAAACAATGGCACATCCATTTGGTGTTAGATATCAGATTCAGTCTTTTCAATTTGTATGTCAATTTCCTAGCAGAAAGAGATGGATATCATTGTCACAATGCAGTTCTGTAAGATCACGTTCGAAGCTGTCAAATAGGTAGCACTGTGAAGTCTTGAATCTTGATAAAGCTACAAGCCTACGAGAACTCAACTACTTACCACTCTAGCTGCACTGGTGGTGATTGAGAGCCCACCGAAGAAAAATGAGCCCCATATGATGAGCAGTAAAACGATTGCTCCAGCAGAATTATGATATCTTCCTTGGAATGCATCATAGAGTATTTGAGCTGGCACAAATGCACCTGCAGTCTCATTGCTTGGATCGTATAGGTAGCCAAAATCCTGAAGAAGAGTTGCAAGTAGAGTTTAGATTTTAGACTTCAGCTGAATCCCACCAACAAATTCCTAGAGGTGGGTGGATCTAAACTAAATAACTTTTGATGATGACAACAATATTACAACGTCAAAGTGGAAATACCGACTAACAAGGAAAGAAATTACAGGAATCAGAAGGGCAATTGTAAGACTAGCCAAACATACCTGAATACTGAAAGTAAGGGCTAGGATATAAGCCCAGCCAAATACCGTAATGATCCCAATGCTAGAAAGAATTGCAATAGGACCATTTTTATCTGCACCTTTAGTTTCCTCTGTCAGATGGGCTGCTGCATCATATCCATACAAGGAATACTGACTAACAAGGAAAGATAGAACGACCACGTAAGGTTTGCTTGATATTCCTGTCGAGTTAGGCGCGGTTTCAAAATGAGTGAATACATATGAAGCAGATTTTGTAGTAAGCGACACCAGAGGAAGCATTATAACAATAACCAACCCTCCAATAACCTACCATAAGAAATCAAAATCAGTAGTTTTTATTTTGCACTAGAAAGAAAGAAAGGAAAAAAGAAAAGAAAAGAAAGACTCTAGCAGTAACCCGAAAAACACAAGATTTTTACCTGCCACCATATTGAAATTACATCAATGAAGGCTATTACTTCCAATGCAAATGTGTTGAGCACTGCCCATATCAATGTGAGGCCTATGTACATGCATAAGAACAACCATTTAGGTGCAAAATATCCTCCATCTTTATTTGTTCCGGTGCATAATAAGATGATACTCTGCAAAGTTTGTGAACCTGCATATGCCTTCCAAACCAAGTAAAAGAATCAACATCTCAATCTCATTTCTGAAAGGTGAGAGTCCACTGAATAGAGATCTACCTGTGTTCCGATGCCTGCGACTAGCCCTATGGTCTCAAGCCAAGCACAACACCAAGATGCAAACGGTCCCCATCTGGGACCTGCTAAATGAGCTGCCCAAAAATAGAGAGACCCGGTTGTCTGTTTAATTTGCATCCAAGAGAATGTTAGGTCTCTAAAACTTGCATCTAAATTATGCATAGTTTAATCAGGCATGAAACTTTCAGAAATGCCTTCAATTTTATTCTGAGAAATTACTGCCAAAATTTCCCAATCAAGGAGATCACTTTCCTCTCATAGACATAAAACAAGTATAAATTCTTAGAACTTACAAGCTTTTTAGAGAAGAAGCATTCAATTCACAGATTTAGAATTTGATTAGGAACAGACTTGCATAAACAACAACTGAAACATAGAATCATTAAGAATAGACTAGGAAGTTTAGAAGGTACAAACTGGAAAAGAGGAACAGATCTCAGCCATTGCAATGCCAACAAACCAGGTGAAGAAAGATACAACCACCCATCCCCAGACAAGACTTGCAGGACCTGCATATAGAAGGCTTGAACCATACAGGGGAGTAATCCCTGTGAAAAGGGTTATTGTTGAAAATGATATTGCAAGAGTTTTGAACAAAGTCTGCAACAAATAAAAGGAAAAACACAATAAGTACATCTGCAAATGATAAAAGAAAATCTAATAGAGCCCCATTAAAAGGGTAAGATTTTTAGCATTCCATCAACAAGAGAGAACAAAAACCTACCAAAACATACACAAAAGAAGAACAAAATCTAAGGTACAAAGAGGAATCAAGGTTCAAGAATACCATTTCCCTTCTGAGCTCTTGCTTGTATCCCAGTTCATTGAGTCGCTTCTCCCCGGGATCCATTTCTTGGACTTTTGCTGCCTCTGGTCGTCTATATTCCATGCCACCAAGACAGTGTCTCCAATTTAGGTAAAGATGAAACTGAGCACGTTATATGAAACTTTCTCCCTTCATTGAAGGTTTCCAGAAAGTGTTTAGGTAAAGATGAAACTGAGCACGTTATATGAAACTTTCTCCCTTCATTGAAGGTTTCCAGAAAGTGTTTAGGTAAAGATGAAACTGAGCACGTTATATGAAACTTTCTCCCTTCATTGAAGGTTTCCAGAAAGTGTTGACTTATGCTTCCTTCCACCGATAGTATCTTTTTGCATTTAATTTAAGCATTTCAGTCCATGTTTGCTGCTGCCATGTTTGAATTTTATTTAGTGGCTCCCTCCAAGCAAATATAATATCAGCTGCATATCCCTATTCCCACGCTACCTAGCATTCAGCATCACATTTCACAATCAACGATTCTTATATTATATGGGTGTCAAGACAAGTATAAGCATAGAGCGGTTTTTTTTTCCGGGGAAATAAGGTTGGCAAC